GGCGGCGTGTGGTGCGGGTGGCGCCCCCTCCGCCCGCCGCTACGTGGGGATGAGGCTGGCAAAACCCCAGCCGCTGCAGCAGGGACGTGCCCAGGGCCAGCTCTTCTCCGCTTGCTCAGAAGCGCCCTGGAGACCTGCTGTGGTTTTATCCTGCTTTTCCCTCTGTCTTCACCATCGGAAAATGAACCTGCAGTCTCTACCGTAACTGCTTGAGCGCTGCTTCAAGATCCGCAATGCTCCTCGCCCTACGCTTCTTCAAGTCCATTATGTTATAATCACATCTTCATGCACTGCACCTTCACACTTCCCTGTGTTTCACCATTATTTCTGTGCCAATACCCAGTCCTTCGCAAGGAGGATGTGAACCAAACTGCTCGTTAGGCCGGGACAAATCACTGGCCCCTGAAGGCTTACGCTGACTTAACGAAGCAGAAACTGACTCAGTGCCACTGTAATTAGCAAACATGTAAAAACACAACAGGGGCAAACTGCTCGCTGTGATGTTAACAACGTATTACACAGAACAAGCTGTATTTCACTTCTCTTTTATAGGAGCAATTGAATTTAGAGATTCAATTTCACCAAAGTATATTTAAGCATGAACATTTGCCTTATTATATAACTGAAATTAAGATTTCTTTCACTGCACTTATGTCAGCAAATTTTTGGCCTCTTTCCTCTCTAATCCCATGCCAGAAGTTAAGAACAGACTGCAAGCTTTAAAAAACAAGCATGTTTTGTGAGCTGTTTGCAATTGAGGGAGAAAAAAAATATATAAAATGAGAGGCAACCCTGTGTTTGAACCTGCGGCTGAATGTTTGGACCTGTCTTTGATCAATCAAACCCAGCAGTTCAAAGGCAAGGAGCAGGCTGTCAAACACACATTATCTGCTGCCACCAGGCGGCACTGAGATGTGCCCAGAGCACATCGCCCCCTCAAAATCAGAAAGTCACCTTTGCAATTTCCTCTCCATTTCTTAAGAATTTAACGTGAAAAAAAAAAATCGCTACAGTTGGAGATGAAGACACCATCCTGCAACAGCTCCAGGTTGCCTCAGCTACATGCACAAAACAGGACATCTGAAGCGTTTTCAGCGCTCTTGCAGGCTGCAGGGCCGCTACATGATGAAACAATTATCAAACTTATAAAACAAAGGAGTTCTGTTAAGGGAAATAAACCAAGGAAGCTGTGTCAAAGGATAATTAACCCTATATTCTAGAGGGTTCTTGTGAAAGAAAAACTCCCTCCTAATTTGAATTCAGGACTTGCTGTCCTTCAGATTCAATGAAGCAGTCCTTTTCTTTCTAATTGATGTTGAAGACAAATGAGATTCAAAGTGAGAAGGCATTTTTGACCTGTTACAGGAGTTACCACAAGAAGAAATAAAACATAAGAAAATTCCAGTTACTTATGAGACGTGAGGCAGTCTCCTGGCCTCGTAATTTCACTACTTTTTTCCCCACAAACTAAACCACAGGAAAGCTCAAGAGAGTAAAATTTTAAGAACGTTGATCACAGCTTCAGCTAACCTTAAGTGTCAGCAATTTTAATGATTTCGTCCAGTTACAGCAAGGAGAAATTTGTTCCAGTAAATCAAGCAGCATTTGGAGGGAAGGTCTCCTTTTAGAGGAGTGCTCTAATAAACCTGCCAGGGTAGACGGTATCCTCCTGGTGACAGCATCTCCTTCCCTCTCAACCTGCCCCAGAGCAGGCAACTCGCACGGGATAACTCGGTTTACCAGGGAAAGTTTAAAATAAGATGAGAACTGCTATAACTTAAGGACCCACAGGGACAAACACCCAGAATCTGAAAATATCATCACCCCCACATATTGCCACTGTATTTGCAATGATCTCCATGTGTAAATGTGCAGCAATTTTAACTTACGTATCCTCATCTGAATCTGCAGTTCCTTTCTCATTTTTTGCCTTCCAGTTCCCTATGAATTCGGGATCTGCAATAACTAAAAGGATGTAATTATAGAAAATAACATTTACAGAGAAGTACATATTAACCATGAAATTACTATTATTATTATCTAAATATTATCTAAAACTATTGCAAACCTAAGTCCTGCTGATATCTGCACTGCTCATAATAAAATCCCCCTTATATTATATTTTGTTATAAACATTTTACTGCATTGCAGGTCACTATGGATTTTGCTATGAATTCCCGTGAGGCTGGAGCAGGACCTACCCACCTCACAGCTGAGTACTGCTATTAAATACAGATTCCATGCTGCACTTCCTCACTTCCACAGGTGGCAGCTCCCATCAAAATGGCCCAGTCACTTCCCAGCAGTGGCTGGCACTGAACTCACCCGCTCCCCTTAAGGGGAGGCCACCCTGCACACATGCACTGAGCACAGTGAGGCCCCCCTGCCTGCAAATGGATAATTTGAGCTGCCAAAAACCTATTCCACAGGCTCCGAGTCACCTGTGCTGGCTCTGTGCAGGCTACAACAGCCTGTGCTCCTTAGCTCAGGTGCTGCACCACTTGTTTTGCATGCAGTAGGGTAATAATATAACCCACGTATACCCTGGTAAAACATTATCAATTATACAGTTTGGTCAGTGATTTAGATAGAGCAAATTCCAGCAGAAGGTTGCCTGCTCACCAGATCTCCTCAGAGACCACAGCGGAGTCACATCATCATCTCAAGATACTTTTAACACTTGTCCTTAATGACTCATCACCACCTTGCTGCCCAAATCAAACTCAGATTCCTACCACCTTCACCAGCCAGAAGGGACAGGAGGGCCTTTGAGGCAAGGGTCATCCCTGTGCCCTGGGTTCTTACAACACCAGCACGCTGCCAGACCTCAAATCACAGAATAAAGGCTGAGCTCTGGGAGCCGTGAACTCCCTTGGCTGTCCTGACACACGTGAGTTGACATCAGCATGGAACCTGGCTGTGAGTTCTGGGCAGCTGAGGTCTGAGGCTTGCAGGGACAGCCTGAATACAGTCAGAATCCTCACACCACTGCGTAACACATCCGGCGGAAGGGCTGCATTGAGTCCATTATGCTCAATTTTGCTAAAACAGGCGGATCGTCTTACATGAGTCTCTAAAGTGATCTCTTGCTTTTGATGTAGCTATTTTAGACCATGTCCTGTGGTAATCTTCAAACGAAATTCTCTTAATCCCTCTGAAAACATAAATACAGAACAAGGGAGGAGTTTGTGACAATTACAGAATTTGTTAGTTAACAGAGACATTTGTGTACAGCTTTCACAGAAGAACAGAACGAATTAAGTGGATTTAAAACGGTCACAGTATTAATGGCTGAGAAGTGACAGAATAAAATAGGTGCACAAAGCTCCAACAAACCCAGGAAGAGGTACTTCCACGAGAAACTGATACATCTGCTTGTTACCACTGCCAGAAACAAAGATGTTTTCATATTTTGTCCTTCCCTTCCCTTCTACCCCAAGGAAAATAAAATTCTATTTAAAATTAATGATTAGCGAATCTTAAGGGGAGGGTTTTTTTTTTTCCCATTGGGAAAAGTTTTGTAAAATCCACTTGGTATTTTTTTTTGCATGAGTTTTCTGTCTTAGTTTCACAGTTACTGTGCAAATATTCAAAACAAATGAAGCAAAGTAGCCACCTAAACATGATTCCTTTATGGTCCATCACGTTGCTGCTCGGCCTTGTTCCACCTCAGTTACACACTATACCTACTTTGTCTTTTACTAAGCCATGTGAGAGAAACCACAGCCTAAGGAAGGTAAAGCAATCTTCAGTTTCATGACAGCTTAAGAGCCTGGGTCGGTGCTGCCCCGAGCTCACCCTCTCCTGTGCTTTTGTCCAGACATTCCTATCCCTCCCCAGGGTTCACCTGATCCTGCTGTGAACGGAGCGGGAAGCCATCAGAAAGCTAAGAAAAAGGTATCGCTTTCTTTTAGGTTGGCTTCCTGCACCAGGACATTGTAAGGTCAGGCAGGCACCAGTGCTGAGGTTACGGCAGGACCACAGACATCTGAGAGAGGTTTAAGATGATCCCATGGAACTTCCCTCTTTAATCAGAGAGCCTCCCAAGAAAGCGGAGCTGATCCAGCAGCTTCCAACTTCAGTCTTTTCCCTCCCAGCTGCACACGACGTTCCCCCCCGGGCCGGAGGGCTATCCACAGGATCCTGCTGGGAGCTCCTGCAGGCCAGGGCAAAGCAGCGGAGCTGCCACCCTTGCGGGGTGGGTGCTCAGCCAGGGCAGCTGCCGAACACGTTTGTGGGAGGACGCGACTTGCAGGAGAGCTAGCCCGGTGCCAAGGGCCTGCTGGCCAGCACGGAGGGAAGGCAGCCCTCCCCTCTTCCCATCCCCTGCAACGCCTGTCTGCCAAACAAGTCCTAACCCCTGCTCGCACCCCTGCCCCATGGGGTTTACAGAATTCTACCCCGACTTCGGATTTTTGGCTAAATGTGTGTGTACCCCGGAGCAGGGCAAGAAAGAAGCTCCTGAGGCTCAGCTGTCCTACAACCACTGTGCCATGAAAGCACTGGAAATACGGGAAATTTCTCCTGCCTCAGTGGCTCTGGATGAACGCTGTGGCCCCATCCCCACACAGTTAATAGCTGTCAAGGGCACTGAAAGCCGGCACTGTCCACTTTACTAAACATCATCTTGCAACACCTTTAAACAACTCGGAACACTGCAGACTTCTTTGGCAAGATTTTTTTTTATGGGCAATTGGAAAATTAAAAATTGTGTCCCCTTTACTGGCCTCCGCCAAAAACCTGGCGAACTCGCACAAGACTCTGGTCTGCTGCTTGCGGCCGGCCAGCACCGCCTGCCTTGGCGCCCTCCGAAAGCTCTGCGTTATCTCATTCTTATTACTCCTGTTTCTATAAAAATAACTGATTGGGAGGGGGATTAAATTGTATACAAAACATATCAGGCCGATGTAATTTTATACGTAGCAAAACAAGGAGATGGAATCAATGTCTGAATTACAAAATCCCTGTGATTCTTCTACTCTCTATTATCTTTCAGGAAGTAACAATGAAAGTGAGAGGAAGACACTAGTTATGAAAAAACATGGGCTCTTGAGCGCAGTGATGAACATTATTTTTGTCTCTTTGATATCCTTCCAACCTCCCTTGCCATTGTAGACCTGTAAAATGTCAAAAGCTTCTTGCTAGAGGCCTTCGGCTTTTAGCAATATTTAAAGCTGTGTCCATAAAAGGAAACAATTCCATTATGGATCTCCATTCCCTTCCATCCCACACTTAAAACTTGCAATGAAAACAGTGGAAGTTGTGTGTGAGAACGGAAGGCAAGACTAGATAAGTAATACTTAGAGGAAAAACAGAGGCTATTTGATCAAGGTTTTTAATCACTGTGATTATGTACCTACTGACATTCATGAACAAAAAAAAAATCAGCAAGGCAATCCACCAAAACGATCAGAATTTAACTTCAACAGAACCAAGATTCGACCCTTACTGTCTCAGGCACATCCCTATTAGCAGGCTTTGTAAATAGGAGGAGTTCAGGATCCACTGCACTAGTATTACAGGGGCTGAGAACTTCTTGTCCTTAAGAAAACTGTCAGCAGGCCAAGTACTGCCCAATTCTGGAAGGAGGTGAAAGCAACTGAACTGAGAGAAAAGAATCTGGCTCCATGTGTTAGTCTGAAAGTTAACTTCGGAAACATTTCAACCGTGATTCCCTATACAACCCTGGAAGTACAAAAAGAAATACATCATAAAAATGACCTAGTTTTTTTTTTTTAAAATATAAATTCATTGGTTTCCCTATGCCATCTAATAATACAACAAATTATCTTAAAATATGCATTGCCTGCATTGATTAGTCAAATAAAAATATCACTTGGCCCAACAATGACAAATTTCTTATGCTCTTATAGGCAATGAACTCGTTTCATTTAGGAACAAGAGTTACTGGCAGTAGCTAGGAAGGAAATTGCTTGCCAAATGTCTCCAAAGGAAATTAAATAATTGAGAATATTCACTAACAGGAAAACGAAAATAACTGCTGTCTTTAGAATACAGATCCAAAACATCCTGGATTTATGGTGCTTTTTCTGAAACAGTGACAGTGAAATCAACATACTCATAGTAATTTGTTACCTAGCAAAGTCCACAGAAGATCCTTCAGTTGGCTGGTAAAACTTCAAAGAAGAAACATGATCTTTCTCAGTATGAGGAAGTTCTGCAAAGAAAAACAGACCCATTTAACAAAATTGGTCATCTTGATCCTACGTAGTGTGAACGGAATCAGTTCAGTGGAAGCTATGCTGAGTTTGCAACAAAGAAACTGACCCTCCTTCTCTGTCTTTACAGTCATGTAGGTAAAAAATGGCTATATATGTACTTAAACAGCAATACGGAGTTCGATTTTCCTTTGCATTCAATGCTTCTCACCCCATCAGTATGTTAAAAGAATATGAGAAATGAAGGAACATGAAGAGGCACCTGGCCCACAAGGTCATTATGAAGTTAATTATGAAAGCAGAGCTTTGCTGCTTTGAGGCTAACAGGGGCTTTTCCATTATCACCAGGATCCAGACACTTTTTGTCACTGGAATGAGCTAAAGCCTCTGATTTGTTGCATAGAAGAACCAAGTACAGGATCCACATCTGCCCCCAGCTTCTCCCTGCTGGCACTTACTAAGCAAGCTGAGAGAAGACAGCCACGAGCTCGAGTCTAAAGGCATTCTGCCAACTGATCCCTGTAAACCAGAATCACTGAGCTCGGTCAGCCCAGGTGCTGCAAGCAGGACACAAACATCCCTTAAAAACCCCAGAGAAGAGTTTACCCCACTGTGCTGAGAAACAGCATCCCCTGCTAGCATTCACTAAGGGCCAGACCAAAAGCAATGGCAAAAATGGGTCCTCTGGAAGTGGAGGACTTCTGGGGACTTTCCTTCAGTAGAGAAGGTTTTTCCCTCCATTCCAAAAATGGCTGGGCAGGGAGAAAGGGAAGAGACTTGAATGGGGATTTCTGTCTGCTTTCATTAGACGGCTTGAATGGATGGAGTTTTGTTTGCTGTTTGTTTCCTTGAAATAAAGCCAATATCTGTTGAGTGGCTGTACTATGCTTAGACTGGAGGGTAGAGAAACCAGCTGGTGTGTCATAGAAAAAATATCAGCACTTCCTGTCTCGCTGTTTTATCTCAACTGCATTCGCCAGAACACATTAATTTCACTGGATCTCATTCACCGCTACATCATTTATAAGATCAGTTACCTGAATTCAGGCCACATAGTTGCTTTCAAAACTCAGCTTTGTGTTAATTTAAATTAAAACATCACTCAAATTTACTGCTCTAAGAGATTTCAGAACCATTTAAAGAGTTCAAAAATTCTTACTCCTTATTTATGAATAATAATAAAAAATAGACAATGTTACCTTCAGGATGCAGGCTATTTCTAACACACTGCATAACCATTTGCCTATAAAGAGGCATGTCATTTTTCAGCATTTCTGCTGCTTCTGCATTCACTGCATTTTCTGTTACTGGGTTTGAAAGCATCACCTAAAGACATAGGCACACACATAAGTCTCTCAAACACAAGCCACTGACACCCTGTTTTCATAGTTAATTGGTAAAATTACATAACCCTATTGTGTTTAACTGGTTGCTTTAGGGCTGAAACAATTATAGTATTTTACTGTTAATATTAAAAATCTCTAAATTTTCCCTTCATTTCTACATAACTTCCGACAGACAACCACAAATGATACATGACTTTGTCATTTGTTTTACTCATAATCAATTACAAAGCTGAGCAGCAAAACCATGCACACACCAGGGGGAAATCTTCAGCTGTGAGAGCGTAGTATCAGTGTAGTATTGTCTAAGGTTATGTAAGTGATGATCAGTGAGGCTAGAATTGAAGAAGGGCAAAAACTGCTCCATGAGAAAAGCTACATTCATTTTTGTCTTAATAAAACAAATGTGCAAGCAAAAAAAAGGGGGGGGGAATAAATTTGAAACATGAAATTTAGAGGTAAAGTTATCAGCATCTTTAAAACATCTTTCTGAAGTGCAGAGAACTGGGTGGGTGCACACCCCTTGAGCAGTAACTTACACAAGACAGAAGAGCATAATTCCTAAAGATTAAAGGAATAAATATCTAAAAAAATGGTCACAACTCCAATAATAATCATTCACTTCATCACTTGTCTTCGTAAGTGTTAAGGTGATTCCCAGTGAACAACTGATGAACAAATGCAGAAGTGAAAAGAAATGATTCCTGTCTGTAAAGCGCAGCTCACAGATTATGTTTGCTTAAGCTCTAAGCTCAGGTAGGAGTTTGTATTTTTAAATTCCCAACGTGTATATATATAAAAGCCATGTAAAACAGTATCTTTTTCCTTACCTGAATAGCAAGTAAAATGTTGCTTATTGTTAACTTTTCTTTCCACTCCTCAGGGTTGTCAAGGAAGTCTATACACGGCCTTCCAGAGTACTGATCCACTGCAGGAAGGGAAAACATTCATATATTGGGCAACTTCAAGATCCTGGTACTCTATACTAAGAGAATTTGCATTTTATTGTATAATTTGCAGATCTTATATTTCTAAATCCCTCAAAACCTACCTACAGGCTTACAATCCTGATTTCCCTATACATGTTCCATTTTCTTCACAGAAAAAAATGTCCTGGCAGAGACTTAAAATTTCTACAGTTGTTCAGGACTTTTGGACATCTAATAGCCAGGTCAGAGCAACAGCTCAGCAACTCCAACCACTCTGCTTAGTTCAGCCCTGTAAGTTTTGATTGCAGCTGCACTGATCAAATGAATTAAGTGTCTGCAGCAGGTCCTGCGTGCTAAACCCAGAGAGAAATCAGGCAGCGCTAGTGAGCTGATTCATCACTGTTATCTCCCTCCATTTCCCCTGTTCTTTCCAATTTTTTAAGAACCTCCAGTGTGACTCTATGGCCAGTGCCATAGCAAGCTGACCCACTGCAGGAGGGCAGAGCTGCACAAGTGAGCTGAGCCTTGCTTCCCTCCCTCCCTATTTATGCCCATCTCATTCCATCATCCCCCTTGTACTGGCCGAATTACTGAAAAACATTTTCTCTTTGTACAAACTTTCCTTCCTGCTTATGCAGGTGGTTTTTGCCAGGTTAGTGAGCAAAACTGCCCCATCGGGAGGTCAGACAAGACCAAGAGCTGGCAAATTGTCCTCCTCTCCCCCCAGCAAAGAGCTGTTCAGGCCTGACTGCTTTGGGTTGAATTAGCCAGGGCCTGGCCAGAAGGGCTGCCTGCTGGAGATCTGTGATTAGTACAGCTAAATGCTCTGAACCACTAAAGGATCAAACCAGGAACACCACCCTCAGCTCGCACTTGCCACCTTCTCCAAATGCCTTTGAATTGCATTTAGGGAGCTGAACAAGCAGAAGGGAAGCAGCCAGCAGTGAATAAAAGCAACTGCTTTGGAGTCAGCAACATGGGACACAACACGCAGGGCAGGCGCTCCCCACATCTCTGCCAGCTGCTGCAACAGCAGAAGCAGGGAGGAAACGCACACGATTCCTCTTCGCACACCCGTGTGGAACAACGTGGCATTTGCACCATGCAGCAGCTTTGCTGCAGATACAAAGCTGTAGCTGTGCTGAGACTGCACCCTGCTCCGTACAGTCTGCATATTTTCAGGATTGAGCCTAACCACCAGATAAGAAAATAAATACATAAACTATGTTGCAAAGTATTTTAAAAGAAATTGCCTAAAAAGCAATGTTTGAAAGGAGTATTATTTATACTGCAGAGTCGAGCACTCAAAAATTAGGAAATGCCAGATTTACGGCTTCTTGTGCAATCTTCATGGCTATTTAGGAATGTTAACTTCCTTAGGATTTGAGACTTTTTGGCATAAACTAACCTGTGCTCACATTCAAAATTGATTTTATTTAATCCTGCGTCTGAACGATTTGATTCCAATTGTCTTTGGAAAAACAAACAAACATAAAACTCTACAGCTCTCTTTCAGGATAATATGCAAATCTATTTTGGAAAAGAAAGCATTCCATTTCTGGTACTGTTCCCTGCTTTTGCAGTCTAGTGTCCAGGATCATCTGTAATTTGTGGCTTTTTTAACACTCCGAAGATAAGTTTGCCTGAATTTGACCTCCTTGGAAATGCGAATACACAGATATCTACATCCCCTTGAAGACCTCCAAGAATATGATCTTCCACAGGGTTGTTATGACTCTGTCTCCCTCTCTCCTTCCAGCAGTCAGCACCACTGTATGGAGTCATGGTAAAAACCTAACTCTTCCTCTAGCAATATCCTTAGGGCACCAGCATTGCTATTTTCCAAGACATCCACAGCCATCTTGCAAAGTAGCTGCCTATACATATAGAAAACCACGTTGACAGTAGGTGACAGTTCACAGCTGACAGTAAATTTTGTTCACACTGCTCGGCAGTTGTCCTCTTGCACTGCTTCTGCAGGAGAAGGCCAAACGAAACATGGTGTGACACAGGAGGAATTACAGCAAACTGTGCTCGTTTGAGCTGGTGCCCAGACCCAGGCAGCCCTGATTAGTCCTGCCAGGAAGGAGAGGATTTCTGCTCAGAACATTGCATGTTTAGTCTTAAAAAGTGCAGAGAGGCAGCAAATGCTCTAGGTATCTGGGTAATGTCTGCACTGCAGTAAGGTGAAAGTGACTCAGTGTGGACAAACTATGATTCTGAGTGAGTGCATTTGCATCCTAAATAATATGAAATAGTGTGCTTTTAGAGAAGCTTTTTATGCACAACTTCCCTGGGAATTTCCACTGAAAAAATGCCATATGCAAAAGTAATAAGCTCTCTCAGATTTATGACACCACAGACATCCAGCTTTAGGAATAAGTGCTATTAGCAAATGGTAGGAGAATGTTGTTATCTCCTCTATAGATCCTGGTGCTACGAGAGGGAGATGACTGTCTCAGCTCCTTCTCTTTCCCACCCCATTATCTGGACAGCTCCAAACCCTTGTTGTGCACTGTGGAAAATTACTGCTAAACCAAAGCACACGGAATCAGCAGGTCATGGGCATGGTCCCTCAGTCAGAGAGATGAAATGGGTCCATTTCAGGGAGTGACCTGAACATGCAAAGATCTAGACACATGCAAAAACCCTATGCTTGAAGAACTAGATTGTCTTTCTTCGGACAATACGAATCCATTACTGCTTACTAAAGAAACACTAAAGGAAAAGAAATATCAAGTTAAACACTTCCAAAACATCTGAACACATCAATCACTAGTCAGTTATTTTCCCATAAGCTCTTACCATTGGGATGGAAGGGAATAGTGTTGAACCTAACAGTTGGAGGGACATCGTTGTAATTTTCACTGTATGTCAGTGACAGCTGAAGCACAGCCCCTGTCACAGAGAAGAACATGAACTTTAAAATCCTGCATTGCACTTATCAAGCACCAGGTTTACATGGGAGCAGCTTTGTTTTCTTTACTCCTGGCTTGCTTAGGTCCAGTTGCATACAGCATTCTCAGTCCTCCGGGAGAACCGCAGCCTCAATAACGACATATTAAATAGAAAGACCAAAAGCATTTGCTTGGAGGCCAGATGTCATAGGCTGTGTATTAAAGACTTTGTACTTAAAACTAGCATGCTTTTAGTGGTAACTAATACAAAAACATCAACTGAGTGCTACTGCACTCTCAGATCTGCCTAAATACTTTTTTAACAAATCCTACAGGAAGAAACAACAGAAATAAACCTGTAAGTTGCAAATGCTACTGCAAACACTTGGCCTTTAGGTGCATAACAGACCTTCCCAAAGCGAATCCTTGAGGCCTTGGACTTCGGCTACCCATTCCAGCACACTGTCCTGTAAGGGCCTAGCAAAAATGCCCTGCAGTGAAAAAAGGAGATAAAACTCAGCCTTTATTTATGTATCTGCCTTAAAAAAGGGAGAAGGGGAAAATGTAAGGGGGAGAAAATCTCTGGATTAATTCCCTGAAGCTTTCCAGGATCTTTGGTGCCCAGAAGTCACTTAGACTCAGGACAAATCCTCACTGAACTTAGCAACAGTCCCAGATGAGGAAAACCAAGTTTTTGCTGGAAGTGCTACCGCAGTTTACTGCAGGGAGGGAGTTGGGAAGAGGGCCGGGTTTTGGGCCGGGCCGGGCGCATCAGATGTCAAACATTGTTTTTGAAATGCAAAACCTCAGTGAAGTCCATAGAAATGTCTTGCAACAAAAAGTCACAGAGGTGATCCATAAACAGGGTTGGCATAACTCAGGACAACTTTCGTGCTGTGGGGACTGATAGTCTTCAAGAGTTCAACATGGTTAGCTGGGAAAATAATAATATATATATATATATATACACTAATATATATATATATTCAGATATATATAATATATGTATTTCCCCCTTTTGAAGAATGAGGTATTCTGCTTGTCATTTGGCTCCCCCACACGGCCTAGCAGTGCTTCTGTAGGCAGCACTGTAAAAGTTCCCTGCAGTTTTGAATTCACCCACATAAACAGGCTTAAATGTTTATACTGCAGGTGACTGGAAATGGATGTTATCCTGGTTCTTACTGTTTCAAAATGTTATTGTGTCTTTTTAAACTATGGGGATGAGGGCCGAAAACACGGGAGTGTGTATAAATACGCGTGCCCACCTGTATAAACACACGCTGTACTCCACGTACCCGCGGCGGTTGATAAATGCAGGTGCTTCTTCAGAATCTAACATATTTCTGCTTTGTTTTAAATTCCTGAAAGTGAGCAGAAAAATAACGTGATGTTTCCTTCTTATGACTGGAAAAGGATCTCCTGGTTGTCCCTTAGGTCAAATCCTTCACCCAAGTGTCACTGTACCCCTCTGCCAGAGCAGAAAAAGAGGTTTTTAGGGTACAAATCAATAAATGGAGGCGGTACCAGGTTTGCAAGAGACACCACAATGTGTTGCGCTGTCAGAGAGAAAACAACAGACACCACAGATGCTTCTAATAACTCCAGTTTTGAGTCAATTTTCCCTCCTTTGTCTTAAAGAGCTTTTGATGTGCAGTCACAATATTGTCTCTCTCTCTGTTTTTAATAATTTTATATTACCTCAGCAATATAACTGTCCTGAAATATACTGAACTTTAATCTTGGGGAGATCAAACGGGAAGAAATATGATGGGATAGAGTGACTGCCCTGGGGGGGCAGTGCCCTCCCTCCTGTAAAAGAAAGCCCGCGGCCAGATAAAAATTGTTTCTGGGATTCCAGGAACAACCCGGTGTGGAAGGGGGAGGTTTGCAGGCTCTCAGGGCCATGGAATCGTAGCTCTGGGAGGTGCAGCTGAGGGGAAGCAGAGGCGCGGGATGAGGATGTGGTTGGTGTGACCACTCAGTCCCAATGTCCTCAGTCATTCTTGGTTTAGCCCCTTCTGTGAGGCTAATGGTGGAGTTTTATTTATTTACTATCTGCTAAAATAGAAGCATTGCCTCCATCTCATTGGCTCCATCAAAAAAAAAGTGGCACAAGGTACACATTCAATACAGTGTCCAGGGGAGGAGTTGAAGACCATGTCAGTGGGCAGATCTGGTGGGACACAAGGAGGTGCTTCGAGGAGGTGCTCCTGAAGCAGCCACCGCTCCTGCTGCTTCTCCGGAAGACGCGTGTTCCCGGCAGCTGGAGGCAGGCAGGAATCCACCTTCCTGGGGGTTTCCACTGAGGCCCTCCGGATGAACCAGGGATGGTGTCATTCTGCTCAGCATGCCGGCTCTTTCCGTTCCCCAACCACAGAAAGATGATGAATTCATATCTTAAACAAAATATTTGTTAGAGTATTGTGACATGCACTTAAGATACTGTAGTTTTTCATCCAAAAGAAGAAAAAAAGAAGTTGAGCTTTCTTTTTTTTTTTTTTTTTTTTTTTGCTTATTTTGGCTCTTTGGAGATTCTATGATTCTATGATTCTATGAATGAGCGTGTGAGCATGCCTCATTTTGCTGGATTGGGAACCTGCCTTGTAACAACCCCTATACATGCACCGGAGCTGCTGGTGAACTTGTGCTGCAAGGCACACGTTTCCTGCACCAGGGTCTCACCAATGTCATTAAAAAGCTCCAGAAAGTTAAAAGAAAAAAGCCTAATTCAAACGCTACTAAAATAAATTGAAAGATACCCATGGCTTTCAATTAGTTTTGTATCAAGCCATAAGGAACAATGAAAAGATTGTTTTACAAGATTGGCTTTCCTGTGGAGTTACCATCCTTGTCTTGTGTGGGCAGCCCTCTCTTCATTATCTGCAGCTCTATCATGTTCATGAGTTCCTAATTAAAATATGTGATTTATAGCCAGTTATCGCATGTTTGCAAGGAGAAGAGGAGATACTGAAGTCACAACTACATTAGTGCTTCCCTGCACCGAACACCGTGACACAGGGTGCGTAACCCCCTCAGCCCCTTCCCGTTAGCCGGAGCCGGCAAGACCTTCCCGGCCATACCGCTCCGGCGCTCCAGCGCGAGCTCTGCCCGGCCTGTCCTCAACGGCCACGGCCTGACAACGTGAGACAGAAGGAATGAGGTGTCTTTTGGGCAAAGGTTTGTGAGGAGACAACGACAACTTTAAGACATCCCGAAAAATGAAATCCTGTCAAAAAGCCAAATAGCTTTTGATAAATACAGAAACTGCGGCCAAAAGAAATGGAAGGGTCTCGTTCCGCAGAGCTGAGCCCGTGGCGAACAGCATGTGTTTGTACTTGAGACAGTTGTTGTATTACCTGCCTTACTGTCAGGAGTGGTTTGAGTTAGGTGGAGGTTTTAAAGTTCTCCTGGCGAAGGCAGGTTACAGAACAGCCTGGGAAAAACAAGCAGGGGTGATAGCGCGTTGCCAAGCCCGCGCACCGCTTGGATATCGTTATTCATGCAAGGCAAATAACAGAATCCTTTTCGACCATTTCTCATGTTCTGGATAAACATACACTGGAATTTCAGAGTTTTCCAGCCCAAGTTTCTGCATGAGTAGTTATTTCTCTGCTTTACCTTCTGCTTTCAATCTGGAGAACGCACAAGCCCACTCTAGGCACTCCTTAGTGGGAACAAAGGATACAGATCTCCATTTCGGTCTCTGCATTTGGGTCTTTAAATCAGCAAATATTTATTCTCTTTTGTGCAAATAAAAGCTAACCTGGAGAGAATGAGATTCTCCAGATTGAAGACTTGCTAAACCCTGTTTATTCAGTTTTACCTGCAAACCTCTAGAGCTTCTCCATCCAGTATTGCATTTCCAACAGTCTTGGCTGTTCTGTCTCTTTGAAGAAAGACGATATGATGACTCTAGTATCCACTATTAGGAATGTGGAAAATTCCTTTGTATTTTATTTGCCATGAAAATAACATTCATCTGTATGTCTGCATTCCCACCTGAGGAGGAATTTCTTAATTTTTGGCAACATTTATTTTCCACACTAATTGGTTCTTAGAAGTATTTTTTTCTCTCCGTTTAATTGCGCCCTCATGAATTCCTGCCTCTCTGCTTTAACATTTGTTCCCTGATTGCGATTTCAGCCTCCGAGCTCCCCAACCTTCCCTTGCTGGGAGTGGAGGAGGGCAGGAAGGTTCCTCACAGGTTTGTGGTTCAGCACTGGTCTCACCTCTGCAAGTTGGAACAATATTTTAACCTTCAGTTTGCAGCTGACTTGGAAATAAAGGGAAAACTAAATAGACCAGAGTGTGTTTGCGCTGCAGCTCCCATAATTTTCAGATGCGAAAAGGTATTTTCATCTTTTTCATACACTGATTCAGTGAGGGCTGTTGGGAGAGCAGATACCCTGATATCATTAATCTTGATACCCTTTTCAGCCACATTTTTGCTTTAACATGTATGTCTCAGTCATGGTGCAAAGATTCTCATTTCTCCATTGACTTTATTTACAACATGTTATTTACTGAAGATTTTCCAATAACTGCCTAATGTAAGCACCACAAACCTCATTGCCAGCATATGGTTTATTTTTTTCTGAAACCAGATACTTACAAAGTGGCTCCCTGCTCAAATTGGCACTGCTAAAATTTCAAGCCCTTAATGGTAGAGCCTAAGAAACCTCTGACATTTACTATTTATTATTTAAGAGAGTGTGAAGAGAGATGTTTTCAGATGAGGTTGCAGGGAGAAAGAGACTTAATGAGAGAGGGGAAACTGGACTCTATTAGATAAAAGTCTGGTAGAAAAAAAAAAGGCTTCTATTTTCTCAGTGTGTTTGATACTTAGGATGCAAAAGAATTGTTTGCACTGATGTGAGTACTCACAAAAAGCATGTTGGGTCCCGAGCAACAGCATTTACTGAACAATGTGCCAGTAGAGAGCTGCAGAGCAGTCCTCTGGCCTCTGATTACTTACAGCAGTGGTTCAGAGGGAACGGGCTGATCCAGTGCCGTAAGAAAATCTCTGTTTCAAACTGATTTTTTACCATTTCGGAGTCTGATAATCTGACGCAGATACGGAAGTTAATAAGATGTAACTATTGTCTAAATCTTCAGCCAAAACTAAATTTTGTCTAACATGTAACGTATTTTCCTTGCAGATGGGGACCGAAATTCAGTCCTGCTGGAAGGTGACGCCTCAGAGTCACCCAGTGCCCCAGCGGTGACATTAACCCTCGCTCTGTCGTTACTGGCAGCTCCGCAGGGCCGCGACGCCTCGGCCGGGGCAGCTCCACCAGGAGCCCGTGGTCCTGGGCCACCGGCACCCGCCGCGTCGTAGCCAAAACTGTCTCGTTGTCACCGCGTGGCTCTGCCAGCCCTGCTCCCTTTGCGCCTGCCAAATACCTGCTCAAACCAACATTCATTTCAGCCTCAGAGTTATTACCCCCCACATTACTTGTCTTCAACTATTATTGCCAAAGCCCTCATGCCTCGTTCGGGTGGATATTTCAGCAGATATTCCCTACCTGGGCTGTAGGACAAGCCTTTTTGTTGTTGTTTTTGACTTTGTTGTTGTTGTTAAATACTATCCTTTTCAAATATCTCATATCAAGATGGAGGAAATACTGTTAAAACAATGTTTTAATAAACAGCAGCATAAAATAATCAGTGTTTAATATCATCTCTGGCACGTGAAATACAAAAATGCACATACCTTAATTATAAAATAGCCTTTGTTATTACATTTTCATGCTCGCCTAATTGAAATGCCCATAATTAATAAATCAATCATCAAGTAATACAGTGATTAAACGCATGCAGTGAAAACAAAGAAAAATATTTGTATAAGGTAGTGGCTGAATATCACCATAATATATTTCAAGAACATCTACATCAGGTTAAAAATAAAAAGAAACAGACCAAGATATAAAATGCAGAGATGTATTTTCACTTCTGCTGTACAAAACATCATCACACTTTTGTGCAAAAGGATAAAAATAAAGTCATATTATACAACATTGTCAACTGAGCACAGATCGCTTTCATTCTGTGTACAACAAAAAACACTATTCAGTACAAAAAAGTTTTTGAGAAACTGTAATGTACACAGTACTTTTGTAAATCATTAAAGTGGTTTCAAATGAATTATCTAGGTTGCTTATACCTGAATGAATTTTAGCAGTAATACAAATGTCTCATTCCTAAAGTTAACACTAATTCACATTATTTGAACTGATAGACAAAATCGCTATCAATGAATTTGCTGCCTTATGGAATGTGAGTTTCCCTTTTTTCAGGGTTACTGGAGTCATAATCACTGAAATTATATATTGATCTGCA